TATAGTCTAGTCTATATTCTAGTCTATAGTCTAGTCTATAGTCTAGTCTATACTCTATTCTATAATCTAGTCTATACTCTATTCTATAGTCTAGTCTATAGTCTAGTCTATAGTCTAGTCTATAGTCTAGTCTATAGTCTAGTCTATAGTCTAGTCTATAGTCTAGTCTTTAGTCTAGTCTTTAGTCAAGATTATAGTCTAGTCTTTAGTCTAGATTATAGTCTAGTCTTTAGTCTAGACTATAGTCTAGTCTTTAGTCTAGCCTATAGTCTAGTCTATAGTTTAGTCTATAGTCTAGTCTATAGTCTAGTCTATAGTTTAGTCTATAGTCTAGTCTATAGTCTAGTTTATAGTTTAGTCTATAGTCAAGTCTATAGTATAGTCTATAGTCTAGTCTATAGTCAAGTCTATAGTATAGTCTATAGTCTAGTCTATAGTCTAGTCTAGTCTAGTCTATAGTCTAGTCTATAGTCTAGTCTATAGTCTATTCAATAGTCTAGTCTATAGTCTAGTCAATAGTATAGTCTATAGTTTAGTCTATAGTCTAGTCTATAGTCTAGTCAATAGTCTAGTCTATAGTCTAGTCTATAGTCTAGTCTATAGTCTAGTCTATAGTCTAGTCTATAGTCTAGTCTATAGTCTAGTCTATAGTCTAGTCTATAGTCTAGTCTATAGTCTAGTCTATAGTCTAGTCTATAGTCTAGTCTATAGTCTAGTCTATAGTCTAGTGTATAGTCAAGTCTATAGTCTAGTCTAGTCTATAGTCTATAGTCTATAGTCTAGTCTAGTCTATAGTCTAGTCTAAAGTCTAGTCTATAGTCTAGTCTATAGTCTAGTCTTTACAATACTCATATTTTAGTAATTAACTAATATTCTACTTTTAATCATATTGTAAAGTTTTGAATTGAAAGAGCATAAGACTAATTGTACTACAAGTCTTCGCTGTCGCATAGCTGTGGTTTCCAGTTTGGGGAGTAAATACAATTGTATCAACCTGTCATGCATGCTAAGTAGATATCATTGACAAATGTGTTGAGACTATTTCCTATATCTTCAATAGATTTCAAATTACTCGAAATACTTGGAAGAATATCAAAAAATGTTTAAAATTTTCTTTCTATTTTCTTAAATGATCTTGTCTACTGGGAATAATTAATTATATTTTATTTGGGGTTTTAAAATCTTCCCTTATTTATCATCGTCTTAATATAATTTAAACATAAGCGTAAATTATTTTATATTTTACTGATAAGATTTGGAGTGTATTTTTGTTTACTAATTTCAAAAATAAAAACACTCTCTTTAAACATCAACAATATCAAGTTAACAACAAATTTAAAGAGGAATTTAATCGTTAAATGTTTAACTCGTGTATGGAAATTGATAGAATATTTATAAGTTTATAATAAAATGCATATTTTATGTAAACATTATAAAAGAAACTAGAACAAAATAAAGATCAGTAGATAAGGACAACGAAATAAATTAGGAAACTTATTTAGATTAGTAGTCAAGTTTTTTCTAAAATTATTGATACCATATCAAGCATTTTTCTTGAAACATTTCGATTGAGTAGTACTGGACAGAACAATTTCTATCATACATTAGTTTGTTTTATTTAATATGTATATAAGATCGTTATTTAATATGTTTATAAGATCGTTGACGAAAATTTTGTATTCAATTCACACTATTACCAAATACAGAATTCCATAGCCTAATGAATTCTATTTTGTTCTATAATTTGGAGTTTTGAAATTGCGTTCAATTTGTATTTAATAAGAAGTTTGATTAATTTCTTTTCAATTTAATACATAATATAATGGTATATCGCCAAATATGAAAAACAATAGTGTTTTTTTATTATTTAAATTAATTCGAAACTATTTTTAAGTAAATAAATTAAACTTAATTGAAAATTCATCAAAACGTTTATTTATTACCTCCTCTTATATTTAATTTGTTTGACTTTTTTTATTAAAATGTGTCAAAATATTTATTTAAATTAATTGAACTACATATTAATGAAAGTGTGCGTATCGTGTACATTTTGTCACGAGGTTCTTAAGGTTTTGCTAAGTTAAAAATATATTTTTAGTTTTCATTTAAAATGTGTGTATAATCCCCTGATATTCCATATTACTTCAGCCAGTTTGCTGCTGGTTTGACAACACAGATTTCTGCCTGAAGAACACTAATACCACTGCCATCAACAAGAAACTTCCACCACTCTTGCAGCCATCAGTATAATTGTTTGTTACATTAGTAGGTAAGTGGGATTCAGGAATTCAGGTCTATTGAAGTAGGGGTTTCCTAAAGCACTCAACTATGAGAATACCACAAACTACAGGTATTCTGTCTGATCGCAAAGTTTAGGGCTGCTTAAATCGGCAATAAGTTCTCTTCTTGACTTCGTTTTTAGTGCCTAGAATCTGACTCTATTCTTAACGTTTTCAATCTTGCACCTTGAAAAGAACTAGCTCCGTATTAATTAGATTTACACTGAGACCACAGGAAAGCCACCATTTAATAAGTAAATTAAGTGCAGATTCCATTCAAAGGTATATTGTGTTGAGAAATTTATCTGATATGAATACAGTAACATCGCCAGCGTTCCACTACCGACTAATTCAATTAGTATGTATTACAGCCACATGAACTTATAGCGCTTATGAACCTGTTACTCTATAATTTCTCAAGGAGTTGTTATGATAGCACTGGGTTCGGCAATATTAAACAATCATGCAGGACTCCTATCACCTGTGCATAGACTATTGAGGTTCTTCTCCTTCGCCAACACAATTTTGGAGATTGATGCTGATCAACTCTCATCAAGATTATTGTATATTTTTAGCTTTGAGGAAGGCAGTACATAGAATTTGTCGGGGACTTTAAGACACTGATCATAGTAAAGCGGAACAATAGAACAAATATCCGTAAGAATCCGTTACACGGATGGCTGGGAGACAAAACTGGCATGGGGTTCTGCATTTAAAACCCTGAAACAGACATATACTATCGTCTACCTAATATCATTACTAGTTTCTACACAGAACTTCGTGCAATGACGACATCTTCTGTGAGTTTCGCAGTTTTAATCACAGTTAATTCATAGACGAGGTGAAAATATATGCGGACGAAACACTCGGAACTACCAAGGAGTGGCAGTTTACAATGAAACCTACACTTGGCCGTACACAAGACAGAGTTAGTGCTGGAGTGGGGGAGAAAGATAGAATATCTAACGATCAAAGTAGGATATACCGAGATCAACCATTATTCTTAGATACCGAGTATCTAGGAATAATGGAGACTCAATTTCACAAAACACCGGAAAGCTACTGGCATAACAAACGCACAATATAGATGAGCCGCGTCAAAGTCGTCGCCTATTAATCTCAAGAGTATCTAACGCAGTCCTGCTATACGGGGTACCAATTTGGGAACAGGCTCTTAGTAGAGCATCTATAAAAGCAATGTCTTCCATACACAGAAGGAGTGTTGCCTTAGAGTCTTCATAGAAGCAGTGCGCGTAGTATCGGGCATTTACCCCTTCATCGTTATCGCACATGAGTTAGCAGCAAAACAAAAGGAAATCAGAACAAATCCATAAACTCCGAGAAGACACATACATCATGTTGAAAGAAAGAAAACATTGGCGGAATGACTGAGAAGATGGGAGAATATTTGGACTTTTCGGATGATTCAAATCTCTCTAACATGGAGAGATGAACTATCACTTAATTGAATTCCTTACGGGACACGGTGGTTATAGAAGTTACTTATTGGGCTTCGGTCATGATGATTCATCAATGGTGTCTTTAGTGTATGAATACGATGAAACCGCTGAACATGTTACATTAAAATGTATAAGATTCTCGAAACATCTCATGAGACTACAATCCTATCATCTGATTAACCCAGATAACATTATCCAGATTATGCTTAAATCTAAGGAAAATAAATGCATACATATGCTTTATAAATCGAGCTCTGCGTGATGAAGAAAAACAGTTAAATCTACATAGTAGTAGTGAATAGAGGACAGATAACAAATAAGCTGAAATCCGTCCGAAGTAATAAATAAATGGGGTGTTCCGCGGGCGGGTGTTATTGTGTGAGTGTGGTTTAGTACGTAGGCGCAATATGTGATTCGGAAATAACGGAAGGTGTAAACTGGATTAGAAGAAATATGGCGCCAATAGAGGTTAACATATTTAACGATAGCCAGAAAGCAATTAAGGTGATAAGGTTTAATCTTAGGTAGGTCAAGCTTTGCATTACGAGAAGAGGACGAGTAAACACCTCAGAATGAGCAAGTCTAAGGTTAGTAAATTGGGAAAATGGGGATTGAAACTAAGTTTCCGAACATCTGATGATAACACCTTCAAATGCACTGTATAAACTTTTTCCTACCAACATTTCCAAAGTATAGCACAATTGGCCTGATAGTGATCTAGGTGTATTTTCAAGGATTTGATGTATTATAAATCCTCTTATCAACCTAACCTAAAATGGACGCAGGACGTACAATATTTTCATGTTTTACAATAACTGCTTATAAGATTTGTAAATATTTTAAGTTCAAAGAACTTGTTTCTATGCCTTACAAGTGTCCGTATGATTCATAATAATAAATCTACTATTTCTACATGTAAATATAAAACAACCTTTACATTTGACATTGAAATTACGATAAGATTTAAAAATCGCTGTTTACTATTATTATGAACTTCTTGTTTTTTTCTTTAATTAAAAACATAACATAATCAATATAATAATGACGAACAAAATAAAATAGAACAAACACTCTAAAAATATATGTATATAACGGTCACGCAAGGCAAAATATTTAAAATTCAAACACACGCCACTACAATACACAGGTATTTTCACATATACACACGCAGTTGTATAAGTTAAAAACATAATAATTTTATTTATATAAAAATAAATATTATATGATTGTTGTTTTCTTTAACAATTATGTTTGTACTTACCACATTTATTTGGGAGATCACTTGTTGACAATTGTTGAGGAAAATTACTATGAACTGCTATTGAGAGGCCATAAAAACGTTTTTGATTCCGTAAACTTTTTGTTAATAAGGAACGTTGTACATTTAGGGCGACCGTTGGATTTGATGACTTCAAAGTGTTGAGTAATTTAAGGGATGCCATTTTTTGTTTGACGTAATATTAAATTCACCTCTATTTATGTTATTTTTTTTTTGCAAACTTCCGTTTTCATAAAACAGCTGATTTACTACTTTCTCTTCTCACTTTCTTTGACAACACTAAACACTCACTTATTCGCTCAGTTGCTGGCAGAGTACTATTTACTTTTTTCGCACACTTTCAGTGTTTTGATTTAGTTTTCTTGTTGTTGCTAATATTTTGTTCTAATTTTAAACGGAAAAATAATTTTATTTTAAGCACAAGACACAAAGAAATCGATTGTAAATCAAAAAAATAAATGTTGTGTTTAAGAAATTTAATAAAATTAACAAACAATTCTTTAAAACAAAATAATACAAACTGTTGGAAGCTGTTAAAGAACCAGGAATTTTTTGCTGTTAACCTTAAATGTAAGTAATTCTTTATTAGCTCTAATAGTTAGTTACTAAAGCTTGCGTAAGATTTATTTCTAATTCCGACACGCTGCCAGTGAACCACTGAACGAATGACTGAATGTGTGCTGTAATATTTTATAACTAATTTATAAATTAGAAAATACCTAATAACAAACTATTACAACTTGTCTCAAGCACTCCGCTCTGCTCCACTCCAAAAAACGTTGTGCTGTGAACGCAGCAACTAATTGAACTGTCTTGAACTGTAGCTATAGCCAGCAGCTCTAGTCAGAAAGTGCGATGGTAGAATCGAAATACTACTCGACAAGTATTCCCTGTGTACGTACTAGACATTTTAGTGAAGTAACGTAATAATAATAACAATAACAACAAAACAAGTCAAATTCGCATATTTTTCCTCATAGATATTTCTAAATGATTATGTTTTTTTCATTTTTTGCTTTTGACTATTTTCGTGTGTTGTTTATTTTTGTTTTTAATTCTTTTTTATCTCTTATTTCTTGTTGCTTTGAGACCTGCGCTGTCTCATAGTTTTTTGCTAATCGTATGGAATAGTGTTGTTAATATTTTGCCGGTACGAATGACTACTTTAGTCGCCATCAGCAGGTAGTATTAGCAAGTTGGAATGTTTGTTTATAAAAAAGATTTATGGCCATTACAAAGTAGTCATTTTGAAAACCTTTTTTTTAACAAAAGATAAAGATAATTTAATTTATAGGACAGGTCTCTTTGACTTCTTAAGGGCTTGGGCATTGTTTTACAAAAAAAAAAAATGGAATAACAATACCGCTGGGTTTTAGAAACAATGGAGAAATTAAAAAATACTTCATTTTATCCTTCGCCTTAATTATACACCATATAAAAAGTTAGAATGCTATATTCGGCTATGCCGAATCTTAAATACCCTTCACCTATGAGTTAGTATTTAGACTAACTGTTTTAAATATACTAAACAATTAATTTGTGTTAAATTTTGTTACATCGAGACAACGGAGTTGAACAGGATTCAGAATTTGTCGTTCTTTTTGTCGTTCAAACATTTGCTTATACTTTCTACAATATAGAAGTGTAGAGTCTGGAAAAAACAAAGCATTCTGTGTCGATGAACTTTTTCCCTAAATAGACAATTTACCCACAATTACGTCACTGACCATACACAATGTGTTTTATTTTTTGTTTACTTTTTAAATTGATATATTAAACGATGAGTTGTGGAGAATAAATAATAAAATAAAATGTGTATGTACGTATACGTCCAGCAAAAACTTGATAATAACTTGTACTTACAGAACAACTTACATTTCAATGAATACTACATACCGCCTGCATTACATTTAAGTACTCTAATAATGACTTATATATAATCATATACATACGTACTTTATTTTGAGTCATAGAGTAGACTTTTAAGTTTTACCATTCTATTTTATTTTTGTTTTTACACACAGAGAAATAAACTATTATTCAAAGCACAATTTTGTTCATTGTCTAATACCATGGTAGTAGTGTTGTGAGTATGAACAAGAATTCCAGATTCGTATTCTGTATAAGCAATTATTTTCTGTATAAAACTATGCACTTTTTAACTCCCTATTTGTAAGCACACACTTCTTGATGTAATTATTTGTAAGCAACACTGGTAAGTTCTTGTCTAATTAACAAGTAGTGAAAAACGTCTTTTTAACCCATTACTTTTCAATGAAAGTTTTTGCTGGGAACTTACCCTTTTCTGGCGACACATACGAGACTTTTGAAGGTTTATATGAAACCCCTTATTATCTTTTTTTCAGCTTACAAACGCAACATGTCCTCAACCAATTATAAACTAACTGAGGTGGAAGGAGATTTGTTCAGTGCTCCCAAAGACTACAGCTTGGCTCATTGCGTGGCAGCCGATTTGGGTATGGGTGCCGGTATTGCTGTGGTATTTAAAAAAGTTTATGGTCAATTAGATGTCTTACGCGCACAAAATGTACAAACCGGCGGAGTAGCAGTGCTAAAGGATAATGAACGTTATATTTATTATTTAGTAACCAAGGATCAAAGTTGGGATAAACCAACCTATGACAGTTTGAGAGCATCTTTAAGTGCTATGCGTGAACATATGGTAAACAATTTTAATTAAAATTTTCTTTAAAATATTCTCATATTTAATGGCAATTTCAGCGTTCTAATAATGTGCACAAATTGGCTATACCCAGGATTGGTTGCGGTATTGATGGCCTTGAATGGGACAAAGTTAGCAGCGAATTGAATGGAGTATTTAACAAAGAAGATTTGGAAATAGTAGTTTATAATTTTGTGCCAAAGTAAATGAAAACAAGCGCAATTATATTATAGAACACAAATTGAATTTGTAATAGATTTTACTGTAGATTATTATTTGAAATATTTATAATTTCTTAAGATGAATAACAAAAACAATACAAAATGAATATTGTAATTTTAAAATACTTATTTTTTTCGTATAAAACACCTTTTTTAACCTGATTTGGGAGGCACGTAGTTGTAAATCACAATTGTAACAACATCATTACAAAAGATTTCCTCAATTAAATCTTTAACCTTGGGCCAGGCAAGACCATCCAAACCACAGCCTATTCTAGGCATGGCTAATTTTGTAACATTGTGTTTTAACTGTAAAGGGTAAAGTAGCAAACAGTTTAACACCAATTATAAAATATTTCACAACTTACCATGTGTTCCCTCATAGCACTTAAGGAACTGTGCAACGACTGATAAGTGGGTTTGCCCCAACTACTTTGTTTGGTTACCAAATTGTATATGAAACGGGAATTGTCGGTTAAAATGGCTACGCCTCCGGGTTTAACATTTTGCTGTTGCAGCACTTGAACACGACCAAATTTATTTCTGGAAATCGAATTTTAAAATTATTAAAGGAATTTTCAAGTTTATCCTTTTTTAGCTTACCGAAATTTTACAGCTATTCCTTTGCCCATTTTTAAGTCTGCGGCTACACAGTGAGCCATGGAAAAACTTTCATCAGCTGAGAATAAATCTCCACTTATTTCTTTTAGAGTACAGTTCATTTTAAATTGGAAACGATGGTAAATTTTTATAAAATTTAAATTGCAATTAATTTTTGCATTGTTTGGTGCCAAAAAATTTGCAGTGTTGATAATTCAGCGATTTTGAAACTCTTGCTTGCAGCGGTAGAAAAAAAGGGTTATCAGTATTTCTAGCGATTTTTTACTATTTTTTTGCTTTAAAAAACTTGGCTGCACTGTCTGATTCTTACAACCAGAGTACGAAAATAAACTAAACGAAACGTTTGCAATTGTTTTGTTTTGATCTTTGCAGTGAGTAAAACAGAAACAAAATCGATTTTCTCATTAGAAAAGAAAACAATGGGAGCAAAACTGAAAAGTTTTGAGCGAAACATTTTCGCAAACGTTTCCTGATGGTTTTGCTCATTACAAAAACATTTTTGACTAAAATTAAAAGAAGTTTAAGTTTTTGTAGATGACTATGTGGAATACAGTAGTAATAAAAGCAAAATAAAAACCGTACAAATTAAATGAAATCCATACACACACTTTATGATTCTTTCATAAAATACGTTTCTGTATTTGTTTTGTTCTGAAATGTACGATTGTAAAGGCAAACAAAAGCAAGTAGATGAGCGAAAAGCCAATTGTTTTGTTTTCGCTCTTTCTCACTTGAAAAGTATTTGTTTTAGTTTTGCTTATGTACAAAACGATTTAAAAATTTTGAAAAGTTTTGTACATTATGGAAACGTTTGCGAAATGTTTCGTTTGTTTTCATATTCTGCTTACAACACAGGGTTATATTTTGGTATGAAGATTCTATTTACATCCTAAAGGGCCCTTCAGACGATCACACTTTACGCCATGAGACTGTCAAATGTGTGATGGTTTCATTACATATTGCGTTTAGACGATCCCATCCGTTCTCTTCTACACAAAATTTTGACAGATCGTATTACTTGTGTGCTAGTGTGAAGGGGGCTTAAGGTTGTCAAACACATATATTTTAAACGGGATTGTATGATGACTTGGTATGAAGACTTTTTTTGGCGCAAAAAGTCTAGGCCCTAGACTCTAGTAGGGTTCTATAAATCGACTTTCGAATAATCGAACAATCGACTTTTTGTCGAAAAAAGTCGAAAAGTCGGAAAGTCGAAAAAAGTCGAAAAGTCGAAAAAAGTCGATAAGTCGAAAAAAGTCAAAAAAAGTCGAAAAAAGTCGGAAAAAGTCGGAAAAAGTCGAAAAGTCGAAAAAAGTCGGAAAAAGTCGAGAAGTCGAAAAAAGTCGGAAAAAGTCGAAAGTTCAAAAAGTCGACCATTTATAAAATACTAAAAGTCGAAAAGTCTAAAAGTCGACTTTTAAATAAATGAAAAAGGTCGAAAAGTCGAAAAATCGACTTTTCATAAAATGGAAAAAGTCGAAAGGTCGAAAAGTCGACTTTTGACTAAATGCAAAAAGTCGAAAAGTCGACTTTTCGTTTCAACTATAGAACCCTAGACTCTAGGGTTCTATAGTTGAAACAAAAAGTCGACTTTTTACGCTTTATGAAATGTCGATTTTTAAACTTTTTGCGATTTATGAATAGTCGATTTTTCGAATTTTATTTACAAAGTCAACTTTTTTCATAGTTAATAGTTATCGATTTTTTGGAACAAAATAGTCGGCTTCGACTTTTTTCGACAATAAATCAATTCTACGATTATTCGAAAGTCGATTTATAGAACCCTAAAAATGTCATCATACCGGCCAGAGCACAGGCAGGCATTTTGGCTGAAAACCTGGCCAAAATTATTAGAAGTGTTTTTTGAGTTAATGGCTGGATTTCTTTGATAGTGTTAGTGTTAATTAAGCCCAAGAATGAACTCAACTGAGTTTGGTTAAAATCGGTCCGTTATTTCACCTAGCCCATCCACAACATCCCCTCGAAACTTATGCAACAATCATATTGAAATTTAGCAAGGATCAATGTACTTCCAAATCATGGTGTAAAGTTTGGTGAAAATCGGATTACATTTGACCCTAGTCTCCATATGAAGTCTCCTTTAAAAATACACTTTAATGCACATAAAAAAATATTGATTTCTTGATGAAATTCGGCATGAACGTGCGTTATGTATTTCTTAATCATATTACCAAATTTTGTTATGGTCGGTCCATAAATAAGGTCCCAAATAAGGCCCCTTAAGAAAAACATTTTTAAAAATTATAATTGAATACCGCGATGAAATTTGACATGAACGACTGTTGTATGAAAATTTATCACTTTACCGAATTTTATTATGATCGGTCCACAATTGCCCTTAGGTACCGCATTAGGTCCCTTATGAAAATAAGTTTAACATTTATAATTGACTTAAAATATTAGTACCGCAATAAAAATTTAACGTGAAAGAGTTTAATATGAATGTTACCAAGTTTTATTATGATCGGTTTATAATGGTCCCTAGATCCACATAAGGTCCCCTATTTTTTTTTTGCAAAAAGTGTATTAAAATTTATGCGCGAATTCTAGGTATTTTTGTACGTTTTTAATTAAAAAAGGTAAATTAAAAAAATACGGCAAATATAACTGCGCATATTTGCGCAAACTTTTTTCTTGTTCCTGAAAAATATACATACATATGTACATAGATTTCATATTTTATTGCGGTATAGAACAATTTCTGATCACTTGCTGCTTTCAGTTGTAAAAATTTTATTTATTTGTTTGGTAGAAAAGGGATATTTTTTTAATTGTCATAAAAACGCCAAAAATAAATGCGCAAACTATTTTTATTGTTTCTTAAAATAGAGATTTTATATTTTTTTTGCAATATATACATTTTTTAATATTTGCTACTTTCCGTTGTAATAATTTTATTTATTTTTTGGTAGAAAAGGTGTAAAATTTTTAAATTTTTCAAAAAAGCGAAATTTTTATAAAAATGTCAAAAATAACTGCGCAAACACGTTTTCTTGTTTCTGAAAATAGAGATTTCATATTTTATTGCGGCATATAAAAATAATTGACTGACAACTTGCTACTTTCAGTTATAAATATCTCTTAAAACCGAAAAAATTAACAAGTGAATTTAAAAAGTGAAATCGTCAAAAATAGAGTTCATATTTTGCTGTGATATGTAACTACTAAAAACTTCTTCGCTTTTAAAATCCTTACCTCTTTTGAAGTGGCTTTCATTTATGACAAATTTATTAGAATTATTGCATGTATTTAAAATGCAACTTGATTTTTTTGCTGGGATTAACTATCATATGTATATCGCTCGTTCCGGAAAGTCTTAAAAGTTTCAAAACTAAATTTTGAGCATTTGTGAAAATCCGACAAGATGTTGTTTTTGTTTGATGACAGATTGGCTTTTATCAACAAGGCTTTGATGAGCAATTTCTCGACCATTAACCTTTGTAAATATATTTTCTAACTTTTTTACCTCTGTCATGAATTGACTTATGTTTTTTTAAATACCCCTTCGAAATCTGGTCAACCTATGTGTAGGAATTTTGCTGACAACTAAATTTATAAAGATTAAGCTTTTTAATCATATATCCTGATATGTATTCCAATGCATCCCCTTTTAATTTTTCCTCGTCGAGGTCATCAAATACTTTAAAATTTTGCGACAGAAAATGGATTTGCTCATTCGAACTAATTTATCTTGCTTTTCCAGTGTTATTCCATCAAAAAGGAAACTTTTGATTTTGCGTGAGAGAGAAAGAGAAAGAATAACATTCATCTCTCTCGCGGTACGGAGTTTCCCGTACTCGGAAACTTGTTTTGTTATTCTTCTCATTCGTACAACAACAAATCAATGCAATTAATACGTAGTTTCTGAAACAAAAGTTTCTATGTGTGGACATTAAGGAAACTTCAAAAGAGAATTAAGAAAAAATTTCTCAACAAAAGTTTGCTAGTGTGGACCAGGTCTTATTCTTCTCATTCGTACAACAACAAATCAATGCAATTAATACGTAGTTTCTGAAACAAAAGTTTCTATGTGTAGACATTAAGGAAACTTCAAAAGAGAATTAAGAAAAAATTTCTCAACAAAAGTTTCCTAGTGTCGACCAGTAAAGTGTCGACTAGTAAATATCACCTTCCTATGGCACTCGCAGTGGTGTTAGAAAATAGCCGTATATTGTTTTGATTTTAAAATATTTTTGTACATAGAATATTCAGGCTTTCCAGCTCCTTTTACGAGAAGGTGGCCATTGTTTAATTTGTACGTGATAGACATATCGCTTTTAGAGGTGTATTTCCACAAATCCCTTATGGTTTCTGAGTCCCCTGATTTCTTAACAGTTTAAGCAAGTGAGGAGCATCCACAAAAGTATAAACTTTTTCCTCCATCATAACAGGATGGGAAAACCAAGGATTATAGCGTTAAATCCGTTTTCCTTTAGTTACCGAAGCTAATGGAAATAGTATTTGGTTCAAAGGCAGCAGATATGAAGTTTTGGATGATTGATGTATTTAATATTCCTTCATCCTAGTCGACTTTTCGACAACAGCGCTGTAAAGTCGGCACCTGAGGTATTAGAAAACCTTTTTTGTAGAGGTAGTTATATGCCCTCGGCCCCGATGCGTTCAAACAAATCGATTCGGAAATGTCATCCCAATTCCACTCTACTCTATTTGATGACATTGGCTTTCGTACTTGGCCTTCTATAAATATTGTGCGAATGGAATATTTAGTTCATATTTAAATTCCTTGTTCACCTTCTCCAACATGTGGATTACATCTACATATTTCTTAATTTCTTATTCAAAAACTGATAAACTAACTTTTTTAACAAAAACTGTATTTAAATTTACAAAAACTATATTTTTTATATTTTATACTAAAATGATTATGTTTTTAAATAATTGTTTAACTAATGCTAGACAAAATAACTTCTTCAGGTCTTTTTCAGTACTTCCATGGAGTAAATTTTACTTGTTTTTCTCTTTGGAAGTTCTTTTTTTGCTGGGTGGCTTTCTTTTCGGATCTTTAATACTTACTCTGTTTGTGAAGCTTCCTCTTTCCATATTAGTTGCGGTGGAGCTGTAGATTTTGCCAATTCATCCATGGTGAAATAGCGAAATTCCGATCCGTATATACCTGGATTTTTTCATAAACGCTTGGCAATTCCGTTGGCACTACTGC